TGCCTCAGCTCAACCAGTTAACTGTGGGCTTTGGGTCTGACCCATTGCTACGCCAATCATCCTCCATGCTCTCCTTCTGACCAATGGCAGGAAATGTGACTGTTCTCTCTGTTGAAAAAGACACAAATCGTGTCATAGCTGAATCTCAGGCAATGAGAAGAGCAGTGAAAAAACAAGTTTCTCTGAATGACCCTTTCCATCTGACACATTCATGGTGGCCTGAGGTGCTGGTAAAAGCCCATGGGTGGCATCTGTCAGGAATCAGGGGCTAGAAGCAGAGGCTTGGACCCTGAGCCAGCTGGATGCAGAGACTCTGATCTCCTGGAGAGCTCCTATCCTCCACGGATGTGCAACACAATGGGGTTTTGACAAAACATTAGAAACTTTCATCATCATCACAGTGATAATGGCGAGTAGCTGTTGAGTGTTTAGTCTGTTCTGGGTATATCTCTTAAGTACTCACGTGCAGCACTTCATTTTACCCGTCCACAAACTTACGAAGATATACTGTGATTATTTGCATTTTATAGTGAGGTAATTGAGACAGAAGAGCTACGTAACTAGCCCAAGGTCACACACCTGACCAGCAAAAGAGCTGGTTCAAGTTGGCATCTCCTTGGTGCTAGCATGGGAGGGGCTCTTGGTGCGTTCCATTAAGGAGGTAGACATCCCAAGTGTGGAAGCAAATGGAGAACATCCGGCTTGCATTCAAGCCAAAAGACATTTTCCCTTTGACTGGGGTTGCACCAGACTCTCATCTTGCCAGTCGGATATATTAGACTACATCCAAAGTTGCCACGTGACCATAGCAAATGGTTCGGTAGTTTTGGAGAAACATTGCCAAAGGAGGTTAGTGTGCCCATGACAGCCCATGGCTGTCCATCCATTCCTGGGGGAGAGTGGGCATGGCCTTTTTTTTTTTTTTAAAGTACTGGAGTTTGAACTCAGGGCCTACATCTTGAGCCACTCCACCAGCCCTTTTTTGTGATTTTTTTTTTGAGATAGGGTCTTTCGAACTATTTGCCTGGGCTGGCTTCAAACCGTGGTCCTCCTAATTGCTACCTTCTGAGTAGCTAGGATTACAGGCGTGAGCCACCAGCGTCTGGCTCCTAGAGACCTTCTGCTTATCTATCTTGAGGCGAGGGGTTACTTGGGGCTGAAAGAGAACCTAAACTGTTCCTAGCAGCCTTTCTCATAATAACAAAAAGGCAGAAAGACTTAAATATTTGTCATGGATAAACAAGAGGCAGTCTATCCACACAGTGCAATTTCATTTAGCTATACAAAGGACTGAAATACTGACCCATGCTACCACACTGACGAACCTCAAAACATGATGCTAAGTGAAAGAAGCTAGATGTATAAGACCACACGATTCTGCTTATGGGAAACGTCTAGACAGGCCAACCCAGAGAAGCAGAAACTTTCCTGACTTCTAGGAGCTGGGGACCCCCAGGTGAGAGGAGTAAGAAGTGAATGCAAGTGGGTCTTGGTATCTTTTTGGGAAGATGAAAATGTTCTGAAATTTGTGAATATACAAAAGATGACTAAATTGTACACTTTAAAGGGCAAAAAGCCTGGTGTGGTAGCACATACCTGTAATCCCAGCACTTGGGAAGCTGAGACAGGAGCATCTTGAGATCAAGCGTGGCCTGGACTACTTAGCAAGATCCAGTTTTAAATGAATGAATGAATAAATAAATAAATAGATGAATGAATAAACAGATAAGTAAATGGCAAATCTTATGGCATGGGAATTATATCACAATTAAAACAAGCAAATAAAAAGCAGAAAAAAGCAGCTGGGGGTATAGTTCAGTGGTAGGGTGCTCGTCTCGCGTGTATAAGGAAAGCCCTGGGTTCCACACCCAGAACCACACACAAAAGCAGAACAACAGGAGAACAGAGCATTTACCGTATCAAGACCCCAAGCAAAGCAATATCTTATGAAGCTGAGTGTGGGAGAAAGGCCCTGGGCTGAGCAGGGATGGAGCCTGTGTGGAAGCCCAGGCTCCTCTGATAGCCTTGGCATGGCCTTCGGTCAGTTCTTCCACCTCTCTAGGCATCAGTTTCTCCATGGTTAGTGGCTTTGCTGGGAGAAAATAAATCTGCCATGAGCTCCAGGAAGCTATGAGATGCCTCTTTAAACTACACTCACTCACTATAGGCTAGGTATTTTTATTGTGCTTGAGAATTAAACAGAGAGCCTAGAATCTTCCACCATGTTGCAAAAATCAACTCTGAAGATGCGGCGCTAGCCTCAGGTGTGAAGAAAAGTCACCCATTCCTGAGCACAGTGACCATTCGCGCTCTCCTTCCTCAGAGAAGGTTCCAGGTCTCCTGTATTAAGATTCCATATCTTAATAGCTTTCAAATCTAATAGTGTTCCCACCCATCTCATCCCCTTCCCCACCTCCGTTATTAGGGCTTCCTAGCAATCTTTTTAGAAAAAGACTTAATTTTGAAACGCTTTGGGATCTAAAGTCATTCACTCTGCACTGTATCCAACAAAGGGCTCCCCGTTTAACTGTTCCAAAGTAACCAAATTTATTGTGTCACCCTTGCACACATCTTGATCCTTCTCTCCTATATTTCCATGTGACTGACTCAATACCCATCTGCTTTTCTTAGTACTGGGGCAATGCTCAGAATCTTTATTTAGATTAGTTCATAAAATAAGAAAATCAATTCAAGCAGATACTGAATTCTTTCCCCTTAGATTATTAAAATATTTGCCTCTTGGTATTGAAAAACCCAAGCCCCAGGAGGTCATGGACAAGTAGTGTCTAAATGGGGAAGGGGGGTGGTAAACTCACTCGCTCTTTCCTTCCCACTCCTCAGTTGCAGAGAAATCCAAATCACATCCTCAGGCAGCTCCCAGCGCCAGGGACTCCACTCGCTTTAGGGCTAGCACAGCTTGCAAGCTCAACACAGTTTGCAATCTCTTCTTACAGGTGGTTTTAGGAAAGGGGAGAGTCTAGTGCCTTAAGTCACTAGAATAGGTGTTTTTCTTTTTTTCCCTTCAATTTATTTTGTTTATTTGAATTCAAAAACCGCTACTTCCCACAAGTGAAGAGATGCAAATTCTTGGGGGAATCCTGAACAGTGTGATGTAGACCCTTAAGAACACAGCAGCCGGTGTAGACAGGCTTTTGGCTGCTGGCTTCTTCTCCAGGCACACAGTAGGGTAGGGAGCACAGCCCAGGCGGCTCTTGGGCTGCGTGGAAGGGAAAATCCTGGCTGTGTGAGTCTGGCTGTGCGAGCGCGGGTGCCGCTAGGGAGGAGCAGTGCGGTAATGAATGCGAAAAAGCTCCAGGCGGGAGACTAATTCGCGCTTCCCAGTAGTGAGCTTAGGATGGGGGTGGGGGCTTCATCTCCAGGCAAGGCAACATTTTCTCTTTGGGATTCTTAGCTGGAGCAAGTGTGGGCATTTTTAGATTTCAGCAGTGTTTGCTTTTCCGTTAGAGGAATCCGAATGTTGAAATCCGCCACGGAATTCACCCCAAGACCACCCCCACGAACCCCCCTCCCCGGTAGTGGGGCTGTGGTGTCCAGACGGTGGCGCTCCCGGCCAGTGCAACCCCTCTCCCCACTGTGGCAAGAAGGCTGGTCTGGACCAAGTTTCAAGGTGTTGGCTCGGATTTCCCAGGAGGCTTCCCGAAGTGAGCAGTAACTTTTAGAAGGTGGCAGAAGTCCACTCCCGTGGCCAAGGTTGGACAGGGAGCCAGTGTCCGAATCGTGCCCAGACATTGGGATTTCCCGGTCCGTGCGCTTTAGGGATCTAGGGCGCACGGCAGGGAACCCCGAGTGTCTGGAGAGAGAAATCCGCGGGGTGAGGGGTGACCCCACTGGAAAGGGGTGGAAATGAGACCCAGGGTGAGAGGTGACAAGAGGGAGGACTGAGAAGAGTCTTAATTGGGGCGGGGGGCTCTGTTCTGCCGTGATTTCTCGGCTGCTTGGCCCAGTCCCGCTTTCCACCGCAGCAACGCAGCTCCCCCAGCCCGCCTGACTGCCGGACGCCACCTTGCAGCAGGCGTGGAGCACCCCAGAGGGGACAGCGGGGAGAAGCGGGGGGCGACCTCCCCGGGGTTCTTAGAGGAACAGAGGCAGCCCTAAGGGCTTTCTTGCCCGTCCTTCTTTTCCCCAAAGCGGCTCCTGAACTCCCGCCGCCTGGGCGACTGCCGCTGGGAGGGTGTGCGGTCCTGTTCTCGCTGGTCCCAAAGCTGGGGTCTGGGCAGTCACCAGCTGTTCTCCCCTCTCTCAGGGTCCAGACCCGCTCCCTGCTCCAGGAGTACAGCGCAGGGTGTGTTTCTTCATGGAGAGTGCAGGATCGGGACAGGACTGAGCGAGTACAGGCTGCTGCCGCTCGGGCAACCCACTGGCTCCCGGGGGGTGACCACAGAGGGATAAATTCCTTAGAGAGTGGGGACCTCGGTTTCTCTCGGGAGCCCCAAGCATCTGACCTCGGTTGGATCACTGGATGCGGAAGGCTGGGCAGGCATAGCCTGCGCAGGGTGGGATAAACCTCTTGAGACGGTAGGGGTGAGGATCTGGGATCCAAGAGGTCACTGGCTGTTCCTCACACCCTGGTGGGGAATGCAGACTGCCTTGGGCTGGCACTAGACCCCATGAAGGACCCCGAGACCCCGTTCTGCAAAGCTACTTCTCTTTGCCAGGTGTTTGTATTGGAGGGAGAAGAACTTGCTAGAAATGGATGCGTAGCAGCTTCTAGGGAGGGAGGGGTGGACTCTGAGCTAGTCACGACGCGGGGTACCTGGGGGATTGGGAGAGGGGCTGGCTAGCCGGGAGGGGAAGCACATACAAGGCAGTCGGAAGCAAGACGACACCTCGTTGTGGATTTGTCCAGAAGAGGTGGTGACTAAAGCGGGGGGGGGGGGGGGGGCGGCCGACGAGCTCTGATTGGTCAGGGGGAGGGGTTAGGGGTGGGGCCAGCCTCCTTTTGAGGCTTTAAAAGCTCAACGGGAGAGGGGTGGCGGGAAGCTGTCATTCCCTCTCTGAGCCTCAGAGAGGGAGGCACGCTTTCCTGGAGCTCCTGGCGCCAGAGCAGGTGCTCACTCCCCAGCCGCCTGCTAATTCCGAGCTTGCCGGGAGATCGGAATGGTCACCTGGAGCAACATGGGGCCTACCCTGGCGGTCCCCACCCCATACGGCTGTATTGGCTGCAAGCTGCCGCAGCCCGATTACCCACCGCTTCTCATCACCTTCATGTTCTGCGCAATGATCATCACCATCGTCGTAGACCTGATCGGCAACTCCATGGTCATTTTGGCTGTGTCGAAGAACAAGAAGCTCCGAAACTCTGGTAAGCCACCCTTCCCGTCCCTACCCCGCGGGCCGGTAACTTGCAGTCCCTGGGGGTGCTTGTTTAGGCATCTGGAATAAAGAACCCGGGTTCCCTGCTCCCCAAGTCCCCACAAGCCTGGGGGGGGCGGTGGTGGCGGTGGAAATGTTCTGCCGGGGGCCGTGAACTTTGCGCTTCGCACGACTAGGGGAGCTCAGAAAATTCGCTTAGGGCTTCCAAGTGCAAAGTCCAGGTCCCCTCAGTGCGCGACAGCCCTCCCAGCCATGTCCCGTCGGGGACCCAATACGGACGGAGTGGGCACCCGAGCGGAGAGGCTGGCAGCCGCCCGGGGACAGCAGGCCGAGCTGGACAGCGAAGGGGTGGCCGCGCCGAGTCACTGCGGCCGGAATTGTACCAGAGGGAGCCGCGGTGGCGCGATCCGCTTTGGGAAAGTTAAGTTCTCGGTGGCCGCGGCGGCGCTTACCTTAGCGCGACACTGCGGCCGCACTCAAGGCCGGCTGAGACCCCCCTCGCCGCGGCCGGGCTGAGCGCAGACCCCCGCGGCCGAGGATCGGGCAGGGCGGTCTGAACCCCTTGGACTCCGGCTCCGTCCGCCCGTCCTGGGGCGCACGCCGGAGTGAGAGAGGCGCTACAGGCGGTGGCAGCGACGGCGGCGGCAGCGGCTAAGCTGAGGTCTGTACGCTGGGGACCGGGGGTCGCAGGGTGGGGCGGCGACGACGTTAACGAGCCGGGCGCCGCACGGAGTGGCGAGATAGGAGACAGTTTCTCAAGGTGGGCGTCCGCGGGAGGGCGGCAGGAGAGCTGGGGGGGGGCGGTGATGCGCTGGGGTCTGGGGACTGCAGCGGGAAGGGACCCCCCCCGCTGCCAGCCAGCGCTGAAGGGAGGGGCCCGCAGTGAGGGCGGGGGGCGCAGCACCCCGGGACAGGGGTGGGGGCGGTGGATTCTGGAAAGCGGCTAGTCCCGTTTTCAGGTGGGGTGGGAGAAACTGTGCAGAGGAGGGGGGGGCAAAGGGACCCCATTTCCGCGCTCGGGATAGAGGCAGGGTGGGGATGGCGCTCGGGGGGGTCTCTGTGTCAGGGTCTTAGCAGGCTGGGGGCGAGCAAGGGGATCTAAGGAACCGCAAGCGCGAGGCCAGCGTCAGGGTGATTACCTGGCTGGAGCAAGAGTCACAAACACAGCACACGTTTCCAAACTCAGTGACCCACACACAGTCATTAGAAGTTTTCTTTCAACTCTGGCGGCCGCGGCCGCTTACCCCTTGGTACCCCAAGAGACGTGAGGCCGGTCCTTGGACCTCACCTTCAGGGCAGCGATGCGGTGCCCAGGTGCTGACCTACCGAGCTCCGGAGACCCTGCGAAGCCCAGTTTTCTTCTCTTTACTCTTCCTCTCCTTTCTTTTCCTCCTCTTTCCTTCTGTAATTCGAATAAAAGTTTTTATGGTTGTCGTGGTTTTGTTTTTAAGACTTTCCTCGCTCTCATTTTTCGTTCCCAAATTCATTACTTTGAGGGAAAACCCTAGAAAGAATCTCTTCTGTAGAAAGCGCTGAGGTCCAGTCTTGGCAGCGCCAGCGGAAAGATGCAGAAGGAGCCATCCCTTTGCCCTTTTAAAAAGCCCTCATTTTCTCCTAGTCCAGGACGAAGTACAGTGTTTTGCCAAACCAATGCTAATTAGCAGCAAGGTGTTTCCCAAGGAAGAGGGCTCTGCGCCCGCACCTGGCCTCTGCCTTTTCCTTTTGTAAAAGATTTTACAAAAAGTTCCTGCAGCTGCCCTACAAAACGGGAGTGTGTGTGGGGAGGGGTTCCCCTTCACTCCCCTGTTTAACCGCAAGGCTGCAGTAAGTGTCAGTGACACAGTGAGGACCCTGTGCAAGGCTCTGAATTGGCTAGTGGCCACTCTGTGTGGACTGAGACAGATTTCTGTTACTCCTTGCAGGGGTTTTCCTCCCCACCCCTCACTATTTCTTTGGTCTCACACTAAATTTTACATGGCTTCCCTCTTCCCCTCAGGTTTTCCTCTTAGGCTGCCTGGGAAACGGTAAGTATTGGGGCTCAATCTTAGATCACTGATCCCTTTGGGCAAGGCTGCCCAAGCAAACAGCCTCCACACCCGGGGCTTGCTTGTAAATAAAAATAAAAACACAACTGCGTTTCTTTAAAAGAATTCTAGAATTCTAAATTGACACTAATCCAGCTGTCTTTTCCCTCCACCCTAAATTTATAGATTTCCACACTTTAACCTTTTATTGTCCCCTGTCTCCCCTCTTCTCCCTCCCCTGATGTTTTCCAGGCAACATCTTTGTAGTCAGTCTCTCCATGGCTGACATGCTGGTGGCCATCTACCCCTACCCTCTGATGCTGCATGCCATGTCCGTTGGGGGCTGGGATCTGAGCCAGCTCCAGTGCCAGATGGTCGGGTTCGTCACAGGGCTGAGTGTGGTGGGTTCCATCTTCAACATCGTCGCCATCGCCATCAACCGTTACTGCTACATCTGCCACAGCCTCCAGTACGAGCGGATCTTCAGCGTGCGCAACACTTGCATCTACCTGGTCGTCACCTGGGTCATGACCGTCCTGGCTGTCCTGCCCAACATGTACATTGGCACCATTGAGTACGATCCTCGCACCTACACCTGCATCTTCAACCACCTGAACAACCCTATCTTCGCCGTGACCATCGTCTGCATCCACTTCGTCCTCCCTCTCCTCATAGTCGGTTTCTGCTATGTGAGAATCTGGACCAAAGTGCTGGCAGCTCGAGACCCGGCTGGACAGAATCCTGACAACCAACTTGCAGAGGTTCGCAATTTCCTAACCATGTTTGTGATCTTCCTCCTTTTTGCAGTGTGCTGGTGCCCTATCAACGTGCTCACTGTGTTGGTGGCTGTCAGTCCGAAGGAGATGGCAGGCAAGATCCCCCCCTGGCTTTATCTTGCAGCCTACTTCATAGCCTACTTCAACAGCTGCCTCAACGCTGTCATCTATGGGCTCCTCAATGAGAATTTCCGGCGAGAATACTGGACCATCTTCCATTGTATGCGACACCCAATCCTGTTCCTCTCTGGTCTCATCACTGATATTCGTGAGACGCAGGAGGCCCGCGCCCTGGCCCGTGCCCGTGCCCGTGCCCGTGATGAAGCCCGAGAACAAGACCGTGCCCGCACCTGTCCTGCTGTGGAGGGAATCCCAATGAGTGTCCGAAATGTTCCACTGCCTGGCGACGCTGCAGCTGGTCACCCTGATCGTGCCTCTGACCTCCCCAAGCCCCACACCAGATCTGCCTCTGCCTACCGCAAATCTTCCTCTAGTCACCACAAGTCTGTCTCTGGCCACTCGAGGGTTTCCCCTGGCCACTCCAAGTCTCCCTCTGTCCACCCCAAATCTGCCACTGTCTACCCCAAGCCGGCTTCTGTCCACTTCAAGGGTGACTCAGTGCACTTCAAAGCTGAGTCTGTCCACTTCAAGTCTCTTTCCAAGCCTTCCGCCAGCCACTCCACTTTCAGCCCTGTCACCAGCCACCCTAAACCCACCCCTGACCACACCAAGCCTGCAATCAGCCACCCCGAACCCACCACTACCGACTACCTGGAGCCTGCCACCACCAGCCACTCTGTGCCCATCCCTGCCGGCCAGCCTGAGCTCTCTGCCTCTCAATGCTCTGAGATCACCACCACGGGCCCCTTTGAGTCTCATGTCACTGACCTCCCCGAGCCTGTCTCCAGCCTTACTACTGTGTCTCCCGAGCCCGCCGCCGTTGCTGACCTTCCCACCCCTACTGTGGTCACCATTGCCACCAGTGTTTACCACGAGATTGTGGTTATTGATGTTGAGGATGATTCTGATGAGATGGCTGTGTGAGATGTGCTCTCGGGGGTGGCTGGGCTGTGGGCCACTTTCCAGTTTGCTCTGCATATGTAATCCAAAGTGCACAGAGACAGAGACACGTGCAGACTGACCCACACGAGACAGGTGTAAGCTACATCCATCTTTCAGGCACTCTCCTCCTTGGTGTCACTCTCTCTTTGCTTGCTATCTTGGAGATCAAATTCCCTTCAAGCTTGCCATCTGTTGTTTGGAGCCTCCCATGGTTGACCTTCGGCCCCTCAGTGATCCCTAAAATGTAGACTTTGATTTTTGCCTACTTCCTGCCCTTCCCCCACCCCTCTGCCTTGCTCCTGCTTTCTTCTCCCATTCCCCAGGGGTGGGGGAGGAGTGCATGCGCGCAATGGTAAAGGTGTATCTTTGTGACCACTTCTGTAAAGTGACTGTGACTGCAAAGCTTCATGTTTTAAGCGTGTAACTCTGTGTTGTACTTTTAATGGCAGTCCGAAAAGCAGTTATGATAAAGTAGAAGCGTTTGAACGTTTTCTTTCCAGTGACAAATTATGACCCACGTCTGAAGAACACAATTTGATAAGCTCTTATAAAAACAAAGTCTATGCCTATCAGATCAAATGTCAAAAGAAAAGATATGGTCACACCAAGTCATTTCTATCTCGTGAAAATTCTGACATTGATGCTAATGTTTATAGATTTGGTTGCAAATGATGAGGTGTTTTTACCCGATTTTTCCTCATTTATCTTTTTTAAGTGTGCCAGGATTTTCTTTCATTTAGTTCCACAGAAACACATCCATTCACAACTACTCTTTACCTCAGAGATTTTTTTTTACCCAGCCTGATGTTTTTTCAATTTTTCTTTTTCACTCACAAGGGAATTTGAGGTAGTAACTGGTAACCAGAAGCAAATGGATCATGCCATGGAGGACAGAAATGAGATTTCCTCTAAAAGCCTTGTCTCTCTGCCCCTCCCTGCTGGGGTGGGCACACGGGAGGAAGAGATGCCAACACCAGGCAATCCCACCACACTTGGTTAAGGTTTGGTGTTAGCAATGTGAACTGGTAGTAGTCTTATATCAGCACTCTGGACTGCCCAGGAATTGATGTTCCTCTAGAATTCAACAACAAAATTGCTGTTTAAACAAAATTTCAATTGTTGATTCAATTGACACTTTCAGCAATGTTTACTGTACAAAAGCTTGTAAGGATAAGTGGAAATATATTATGCTGCCTTAACTCTATTTTGCATTTGTCATAGCAATTAAATAAAAGCGATTTTGTGGCTTTAGCTTGTGACATGTTGGGGGGAGAGGGGCTGGGGATAAAACCAGGGCCAGTCCCTGGACCCCTCTCACCTCAGTCCCTATAATTAGCATACTGTGGGCAGGTAAAGGATGGGATGGAGGGAGGTCTTGGTGTGTTTTTTTAACTAGGATACTGAAATTGGATGGCTTGAGCTGCCTGCTGTTGGACTTCTGGAACTTTCCTGCCAGCCATGGCTTCTGGAAAACAAGTCCCTTTCACTCCTGTGGAAGGAGTAAAGCCAGACCATAATAACGTCACAACCCCAGAAGCTGCTGGGACCAAAGGGAAGAGCTCAGGAGGCAATGGAGGGAGGCAAAGGAGTGGAGGTGGTTGGGCCTCAGATACTGGGCAGGGCCCTTGGTGTCAGGGACACAGTCTCCAAAGAATGGCTAATGACAAGAAACTGATGAAAATTTTTGCTAAAAATCAAAGTGAATTCAAAATAATATATAATAGCACATCTTTTTTTTTTTAAAGAAAGATACGTACACTTAACATGTACGTGAAATGGACACACAGAGTTAGCTATATGCTGCTTTACTCAGGCCCTGACAGACTGGAAGTGTAGACTGAGGTCATTTGAGCTCCTAGTGCTCAGGTCGCAGTTGTCCCAGCCCCGCAAGTAGGTGTACTGGACCTCAGGTGAGCCACCCCACCTTGTGCAAAATTCCTGCCTGGCATTCCTGATTACCTAAAAAGGATTCTTGTCTACATACTTACAGACTGGTCCATGGCAACCCTCCCCCATTTTCCCAAGTTCTTCCTCCCCACCCCCACCCAATGAGATGTCAAAGTGTCTCAACCAAGGGCCCTGTGTCCTAATGCCACAAACCGCCATTCTGCAGACAGGAGAGGAGGGGGGTAACTTTATTTATAACTTCGTTCCACACCTTGCCCCGTGTTTAAAGTGACATGCTCACCCCCAGAGTTGCAGTCTCAGGAGGCAGCCACTTCAGTTACTTGCCACCCCCTCCCCAGAGGCCAGCCTGGCCCATAATCACCTCCCCAGGATCCAGCCCCAGGGCAAATGCAGGACTTTTCAGTATGGACTCCAGGAACTGCTCTGCCTCTTGTTCCCCATTCCCCAGGGCCTCAAAGTCAAGATGCATCATACATGCTACTCCAGCACTCTGGTTAAGCACACCCTCTTGGAGTGAAGCTGTTTCTGGTCTGTTTCTCTGCATCCCCATTTAAGGTTCCTCCCAGTTCTCCCTGGGACAACATGGGACTTCTGGATTTTGGCCAGTGAGAATCAATGGACAGGTTTCCTCCAAGAGAAACGACAGGTTTTCCCGTTTATGTTCTGTTTTCCTTTTTAATGGAAATATAATTTATATGCTGGAAAGTAACAGCTTGGATGACCATGGATGTACAAGTACCTGTTTGAATCTCTGCTTTCAGTCCTTTTTGGATATATGTAGCAGAGGAATTGCTGAATCACAGGCTAGTACAGCGTTTTTTGTTCAGAGGATGAGTGTGAGATTCACTCGTATTTTCAGGCATACTAATGGCTTATTTTCCATGTTTACGCGGTATGAACGTACCACAATTTGTTTATTGATTCTATTGCTGATGGTCTTTTGGGTTGTTTCTAATTTGAAATTATAGTGGTAGGAGCATGTCTTTCTAGCTGGGGTCCTAGCTCAGTGGCACAGCACTTCCTTAGCATGCCCAAGGTCATGGGCTCCATCCCCAGCACTGGAAAAGAAAGCTGCTATAAACCGTTTTTGTGCATGTCTTTTCTGCTTGTTTGTTGACCTGATTGGATTTCTTTCTTTCTTTTTTAAATTAAATTAAATTAAATTAAATTTTTATTATTATTGTGCTGGGTGGGGGTATATTATAGTTTGTACAAAGGTTCTTACAATGTATCAGATATATCACACTTGAATTCACCCCCTCCCCACTACTCTCTTTCATCCCCTGTTCCTGATTTCCGGAACAGCTTCAACTGGTATCAGTTTTGCATTTACCTACATGTGTATACATTAATTTCACTGTATTCATCCTCCCACCCATTTCCCCTCAATTCCCCATTCCCACAGGTGCCACCCCCACCCCCAGTCCTGGGCAGAACCTTTTCAGCCCTCCTGTTCTCCAATTTTGTAGAAGAAAAAACATAAAAGATAACAAGAGAAACATGACGTTTTGCTAGTTTGAGATAAAGACAGCTACACAGGGAGATTCTTTGTGCTGATTCCACCTCAAATTGGGTCATCTCTACCAGACCTCTTCACTCCTCCCTAAGTCCCCTTCCCATGGTGGCCTCGGGCAGTTTAAGATTACTGTGCATGTCTTTTAATGTAATTTGGTACCAAGGTATAATTTTTTTGTGGTGCTGGGGATGGAGCCCATGGTCCTGTGCATGCTAGGCAGGTGCTCTACCCCTGAGTCATACCCCAGCCCGTATTAGGCACTTTTTAAAAAAATGGAGATCCTTCTCTCAGGCAGACACCATTTCCTCACTTCCACCTTCCAATGCAGTCAATTGACTCCCTGTTTGGATTTCTTTTCTTCACCTGCCACTTATATGAAATTGTCATGTTTCTTTCTTTCTTTTTTGGCTGTACTGAGATTTTGAACTCAGGGCTGCACACTTGCAAAGCAGGTGCTCTACCACTTGTGCCAAACCTCCTGTCCATTTTACTCTGGTTATTTTGGAGATGAGGTCTTATGAACTTTTTGCCTGGGCTGGCCTTGAACCATGATCCTGTGCATCTCAGCTTCCCATGTAGCAAAGATTACAGGCATGAGCCACCAGCCTCCAAACTGTTCATTTATTTCTTTACTCAATTTCTGCTAGCTCATGCTTCCAGAGCAGGTTCTTTCTTGTCTTTCCATCACTAAGGCATAGGAAGGATAAGGTAGGTACATACCTGTATTAAATAAACGAATGAGTTGTCTACTGAGGCATAATTTTGCATACAATGAGGTGCAGTAATTCAGTACAGAGCTCTACTTCAGTATGGAGTTTAACGAATTTTTACACATAGATGAAGACAAAAAACACTTGCAGCACTCCAGAAGGTTCTCTGAGTAATTTTGCTGGTTTGCTCTCTTGGATCTGGTTTTTTTTCACTTATCATTTTGTTTGTGAGTTTTACCCAGATTGCTTTGGTTAGTGGTTCATTCTTTTTTTTATTACTGTGTAGAGTTCCATCATATGGGTGTACCACAGTTTTAAAAGCCAGCCTACTGTTGTCTAGGCATTGAGCTGTTTTCCAGTTGGGGCTATGTACATGTTTGTACACACATGCCGTTGCAGGCACACATGGACTCATGCTTTTGGAAATACATACGCACATCTAGGATTGGAGGTGCTAAGTCAAGAGTATACGTGTATTGACTTTTAATAGACAGTGCCAAATATTTTCCCAGAGTTTTTGTGCCAGTTTATATTCTTGCCATCAGTGTGTGAAAGTTCAAGGTGCTGCACGTTCTTGCCAACGCTCAACGTTTTCCAACCTTTCAATGTTAGCCCTGGAGTGGCTACATCACTGGCCCCAGCTTGCATTTCTTTAATGAACAATGGTGCCAGTCAACTAGTCACATGAATACTTAGATGACTTCTTTAATGAAAACCCTGAATAAATATTTTGACTATATTAAAATTGAAGTTTGTCTTTTTCTTATTGACCTATAGCTGGATCTGTCTGTGTGTGTGTGTGCGTGCACTTCATGATTATCTTAGAATTGTATTTTTGGTGAATAAAG